TATAATTGTAACAGTAGTAATGGAAGTTTCAATAGCAGCAATCAGATATCAGCATGTTTCAACTCATTTTTATGTGTGTTAATAAAATAGTGTGTGACCATAAAGCAAAGCATATTGTCCAAACTTCTGTTTATTAATAAAAATTGATGGCTAACTTGTCCTATTTTATGTGAATGAAGCTGCCATTAACTTCTATACCTGCTTTCAATATATGAAACAATCAAGTTTGCATTCACTTCCATAAAAAGTATTTTTTCCCCACAAATGAGTTGCACATTTGTGCCATTCACATAGGGTCATCAACGGACAATTCCTGGAGTTACTGTCACTTTACAGTCAATATATGCGGTGTCCTCTGTAGGTGGTCTAGAGAGGAAAGGCTTTTAAATAGAAAAGTGCAATGGGAATGACTCCTCGTTCCAGCTTGTACCTATGAGAAAAGATCACGCCCTTAGGAACTGGGACTTTGAAAAATTATTCATCAGCATAATGTGAAACTGGTTTCTGCCCCTCAAACTTTCCCAGTTTCAATTACAGGTAAGAATAATGCCCATTTTTGTATTGTTGTCCCTAAATGATTCTTAAAGAAATTTTAAAATATTCCTGTTTTATAATTTTGAAAAACTCTGGTTCCAGACATGGAGTCAAGCTGAGTGGTCATGGAGAGGTATAAATCCATTCACTCCGGACTCAGACATGTTGACATGCTTACAGTTCACCCTCATCCATGATCCGTCCCTCTGTGCTATGAGTAACCACTTAGCTAGGTTTGGTTGGCAACACAGTAATACAAAGTCAATTGAGAAAAAGGGATTTTCATATATTCACTTTCTACATTTAAAAATTCATGACTGAGAAGTGCCCCTTCTACGATGGCTAACATTGAAATAAGTGATGATGATAAAAATAGACCAAAAATCACCAAAATATTTTACAACCCCATTTTTTTCCTTTTGTGATGTCTGAAAAACAGGCTTTCTTTATTGTTGCTTTTATTGTTTTTGTTTGTTTGTCTTTTCCAGATATTTAAATGAATTTTAATATGATCTTCACCCAGGAAAACTTAACACAGAAAAGTTATGACCATAAAATGAGTTGGTATCATTTTAAGTGCCAATAGTGGGGCCAAAAGGTGTCCTTGTCATATAAGGGGAAGCTAACAAAGTAAAACAAAATAAGGGAGAGCAAAAGGAAAGAATGTGTCTCCTTAAATGTGTTAATTCATAAGGAAGACTTTAATGCATGCCAATGTTCACATAAGAAAGCTGAACTAGGATGACAAAATTACTATTAACAATTTGGAAACATATCCCAAATATATTTTCATTAACACCTTCCTATTTTCTCCCTAAGCTACATCTATCCTTTTTATACTTAATAGACCTCATTCCAGTTATTAAGAAATTTAACTGAGCATGCTTACAAAAATCAGCTAACCATTCTGCAATAAGAGAAGCAGTGCAATATATGAGATTGAGTTCCATTATCTTCAGGAAATAAATACACATAAAAATCTCTCCAAGACCCCAGTCAACCAATACAAAAGCACCATTTAAGGTAATACCTAAATCTGTTGCTTGAAAATAGTTAATTTCTTCAACTTAATATAGTGAGAAACACAAATCAGGATCATTACTTTTAAGGATCCACAAATTAGATATCTATCTGCAAAGGAGGACTTAATTATTTAATTTTAAAGCAACTTATCTTGATAAGAGTCTAAAATTACATGAGCATTTACAGCTTCTAAAAATGGGTTCTAAGATATTATTTTAATACTAAGGATTCATTTTAGGTCTATAGCTATAGCCCATATTTTCTGTCATAAAGTCTAGATACAAAAATCATACCCATAATTTGATCATGTAAAATTAATAGAGTGTAACTGCAGCATGGACTGTTATCACACATACCTATGAGATTACGAAGGCACAGGCAATTGTCTTAATACCATGATTACGGGTATTATACTTCCAAAAGAGTAAACTGTTTGAGCTGAATCCCCAGAACAATAACACTTCAGGACTAAGGATCAAACAGTGGGAAAACAAAGCAAAACAACAGATGGAAGGCAAGTGAAGCCACAGAGGATTAGCTGGGGTAACCACCAGGGTGAAGTCCTCCAGCTCACATAAGCAAGCACAAGAGGCGCAGGGCTACAGGGAAGCTCCTGAGAGTTGAAAGCGCTTAGGGGCTCCTCCCAGAAATCACAACCAGGTGTCACACTTTTAAGTAGGAAGATATGTTTCTAAATCCAAAGAATAAAGTCAGACTAAACTTTGATAAAAAAGAAAACAAGGACAAAAGAATACCAATGAAATCAAGCAAACACAAGTTATTTCAATGGGGGTTTGTCAAAACAGTTTATCTTTCCTTGATTACCTGATAAAACATACGTATAACTGCTCCTCTAACCTTGAGACTCACTGCCCTCACCTCTCCTGTCTGAAGTCGGAAGCACAGTGGACCAGAAAAAGACCTTGATCTCATCAGCGTCTCTCATTCTTTTTACATCTTTTGGTCAGAGAATAAGTATGTCTTGCTCTGACCCCTTTCCACAGAACAAACATCCCACGGGCAGTCTTTTTCATTTATATCATTATATATAACTCAGCTATTATCAGAAGGCAAACTTGTCCATCCTGTGCCTTTCAAATGGCCAACAGCAAGCATTCTCACAACATGGAGAAAGCACAGAGCTCATCTGACATGGCTTCACTTCCTAAGTTACTGTCGAGCCATACGGCTGCTATGAGTTGGAATCAACTGCATGACAGCAAGTTCATCTTATTTTAATAACAATTCTAAACAGTCCTCTGGTATTCTGACACGTCAACTTAGACATTCCAGCAGGTGCTTGTTTTCTGAACCCCTAATTTTCTTGTATTCTTTAAAAAATATAGATCATATCTTCCAAAAAAGTAAATTCTCAGACGATAGCCCTCCACAAACAAGAAGAAAGCCGCTTAGTTTGTAAAATGTTAGGATGAAGACTACAGGTCAAGTGAAATTGTACGTGATACAGCATAAATCACAGTACTTGCTCTTTATTATGATTATTAATTAAATCCTGTCTTTTTTCAAGAAAAGAGCTATGCTAGAACTAAAGGAAAGCTTGGTATGGCATTATTATGATAGAATTTGCAATGATAAGGGAGGACCCGATCAAATAGGCACATTCTGAACCCAATTTTAACAGGTTTAGATTTATTATAGAATAAATTACAAAAATCATTGACTCTGCTTTTCCATGTATGCACCTAAGTTGGCATTTATGTATCTTTTTCAAGTGGCAAGAAAGACAATTTATTTATATTTGTAAATTGCTTTGAAGTTTAAACTTCAAACCCTTTTCGTGTGGTTTTTTTTTGTCTTTATGAAATGGAAGCACTATGTGTAACATTTTGATGTAATCATTACAGGGTGAACAACTTTAAAGGTATACATTAAATTAATTTTACATGCCAAAATTAATTAAATATGCCTGAGCCCACATGTTGATTGTTTCAAAAAAAGAAAAGAAAAATGTCTTCCTTGAGAAAATTCACTGCCATTCAGTTGATTACAATTCAGAGCAACCCTGTAGGGCAGACAGGGTAGAACTGTGCCTATGGATGTCCAGGACTGGCACTCTTCAGGGGAGCAGACAGTCTCCTCTTTCTCCCGCGGGGAGGCTGCTGGTTTCAAATTGCTGGTCTTTGGGTTAGCAGCCCAACCCGTAATCCCGTACACTACCAGGCCCCTGGAGACAGCACAAAATATTGGAAAAACTCTAATCAACTGAATGTAAAAAAGATCTGGATTTTGCAACTAACTCTGGATTTCATTTAGTCTTTAATATTCAGTGTTTTTCAAATCTGAAAAAGGTGAAAGAAAAATAAAATCTTGAATTATTTCTTGTGGAGAATTCATGCATGATGATCAAATTAAATGACGGAAATAGATTCACTTTGTGAGTATCAAGGAGTCTATGAATACAAGTGCTATTCCCCTCTACGTTCTAAGAAAAAGACGGATCTTTTTTCTTTTATCTCCTTTGGAGTCCACAGCAATACATTATTTCATAATATTCTAAAACCTCAGTGTACCTGTGATAAAATATTCTGTCACTTTATTTAGCTTTGCAATTTGTTCTAAGTTCCTCGCTAGGAAAGATATATTTTACTGACTGCATATGCCCTTTACACAGATTAAATGTTCAATACATAGTTATTCATTGAATAAAAAGAGAAAGTTAAACTCAGTCAATAAAAAAAACATAATACTAAAGATTAAAAGCAAGTCCTTGAAAAATAAGAACGTGAAAAGAGAGAGTTCTCAGTGACAATACAAATACCTCTTTCATTTATTTGGACAATTGTCAATAGACTCAGATACCACCACTCTACTCCCTTATCCCCCCAAAAGATGATGATTTGTATTGTTTCTCACTTTCTGTGAGGTAAATATTTTCATTATAGTCAATTGTAAACTACTAATGTGATGTTACTTAACTTATTTGAGAGAAGGTCTAACCCAGTTGGTCTCAACCTGTGGGTCGTGACCCCTTTGGGGGTCGAATGACCTTTTCCCAGGGGTCACCCGATTCATAACAGTAGCAAAATGACAGTTATGAAGTAGCAACGAAAATAATTTTATGGTTGGAGGGGTCACCCCAACATGAGGAACTGCATGAAAGGGTGGCAGCGTTAGGAAGGTTGAGAACCACTGATCCCAGCACACCACAGTGTCCCTTTGCCACACCTGACACTGTGTTACTATCGACTTTACTCTCGGTTTTTAGATTTCCTTTGTTCTTTCACACAAAAAAAGTACTGTGAAAACCCAGCCCACAAACTTTAATATTTTAAGACATCTCAGAAGCATAGAATTAACTTAGGTTAAATTCCAAAGAATAGCTCATGAGAAAAATTACTCAATTTGCGGTCCATGTTATTCATTTAAAGATTTTCAGAGTACTTTGTTTCAAAAATGAGAGGGATATGGGCGCCGATACTTACTCAATTGTGTTTCTGTCCACTTTTCCCGTCATGTTAATGCCATAGAACTGCTGCATGGCAGCTAGGGCCGACTGCATGGTCTCTGCGGAGCGCAGCACCGACATTCTGGGGTCCGTCGGGGGAAGGTAGCCGTACTTTTGTAACCAAACCTGCAAGAACAAGCACAGTGCCTTTCAGACCAGCGGACCACTGGACAGGAATGCTACGGTAGTTAATTCATTTCTTCTGTAGATTTTTGGACATCATTTCTCCCATAAGTGCATATTGTATGTGTTCGATCTATTTATCATATGTACATACATATATATGTATATATTATGTAGCTTACATTATTTTAATAAAATTCAGTGGTTATTATGGAGTTTTCTACATAAATATAAATTATTTTGTAAGCATATAGGCACATTATACTTGCATAGGAATAATCATTTGTTGCAGACTTATAGTATGTAAGTTACTATGGTTAAAAAAGGGATAAAATCACAATAAGAGTGTCCCTACGCTTTAGGAACTCAACTTTTCAAATGACAGGAGGTAATTTCCATTAGTGGGAGACCAGGTGATGTAGTGATTACGCTTGGGGCTACGATCAGTCTGGTCGGCAGTTCGAAACCTCCTGCAGCAGCCCCGCAGGAGAAAGACTGGGCTTTCTTTTGCAGTCAACAGTGACTTCCTCGGAGAGTTACAGGGGGTCACTGTGAGGCAGCAGTGGCTCAGTGGCTGTGAGAGTTTTTAAAATTTCCATTAATGTGCCTGACCTCATTGAGATACACTTAGGCTGGAAGGGGCAGTTATGTTCGCATCAATAGCCCCAAACATTGTTTTTCTGAAATAGATTAGTGACTTTAATGGTGGCAAGTAACAGCTTCACAGGGAAACTTTCTTGATCATCAGACATTTTGATTATAATTTCCATGCTCTCAGTCTATTCAATTTGCAATTAGGTGGCTCTATGTAAGGAGGGAATGCATTCTTCACTTATTTATATTTCATGTTAATCCAAACTCATACAAACAACCAAAGTTTTCACCTGCAGATTCAGTTCAATGAGCGGATTGAGTATATCTGGCCCTTTCTTTAACAGTGTCAAGATATTTGTCTGCCCCACCTACCAGCCCCAACACTCCCAAGTCCCACCCTTTCCTCCAGGGGCAGAGCATGAAGAGTGGAAGAGAAAGAAGATGAAGCTGAACTCCTATTTACTGGAATGGAATTCGAGCAGCTATTTACTGGAGATGAGCTTGTAAAAATGGGGTTTGGGAAATAATATGCTTCCAACAGACAGCAGATGCTTTCTAGTCTTGTACATATTCATTTCAAATGTAGACTCATATGCTCAGCCCATATGGAAACTCTGTCCTTTACCTCAATCTTTCCTAGGACTCGAAGCAGGTTTTAAACTCAGTGAACTACCTGTGTAGATGCCAAGCATTCTGCCGTTGGCACGGAATGGGAGCTGTAGGATTCAGTGGAAGATATTCAACAGGGTGTTTTTCCCTCATTCCCTCATTTATTCATTACATAAATGATGAGTCTAAGAAATTGCAAGTTTTCCCCAATACCTGATACACTTCCTTTTATGAATTTTTAAATACAACACAGGAGAGATACTTTCTGCATAAAAATAGACAGACATTTTAGAAATTAAAATTTTCCCCAAAGAAACCAATATATCAAAGTCTTTATATGAGAAAGACGAGGCGGGATCCTTTGTGTTATTTCTGAGAAATTGACCACCCCCCCAAAAAAAAGTGCAGTAGTATAAACACAACCCATGGAAAAGACAAAATATATAGATCTGCCCTCAAATAATTTAAGAAATGAGCAATGCATCGCTGTCAGGACAGATTATTGAAACTCAAATCTAGTAAACACAGGCTGGAAGGGGCAGTTATAACATATACCATATACCATATACAAAACCATGCCAAGTACTTGTTCACATCGACTCTGATGAATAGTATGTCAGGAAAGACACATATATTCAGTTATTCAGTTAACCATTATGGAGTCTGACATAGATTCCATTTCTTCTTAAATGAATGAGATGGTATTTCATAGGTATTTAATACTTAATAGAAATTCAATTCCATTATCAAGCAATTTTTCGAAAAACAGAATATTTTTGTTGATTTTAATAATATATATGTGCAATAATATTCTTATAGTGAACTCCATTTCCACAATATATTATTTGCATTGATTTCTTTCTTGCTGGAGAGCTGACTTGTTGCTAGGTTACTCATGGGTGCTTAGCTACTGATGTTTAAGGGGATAGTAAAGATAAAACCACTAATGAGAAAACGTATAGTTTATAGACACACAGAAACATGATACAAAATAGAAATCTTAAAGGAAAATGAAGAAATAGACTGACACATATATCTTAAGCTCTGAAACAATTGTTTTAGACAAATATGAAAAATAAATATAATTTTGCTTCTAGTTCTCTTTTACCATGAGAGAGTGTTTTTCAAAAGTATTGAGAAGTAATTCTCAATAAACTGTAAAGTGTTTTTTTTAAAAGTGAGGCAACAATGGCACCTATAAGTTTACATTCAAAATGTGTGTCATGCTGACAAATCAGGATGACTCAGATCCTGAGCCCTCTTCAGGTGGTCCTCCTACCGATTCTGTCATTCATTAAACAATAACTCTTCTTTTCAAATATTGAGAATTGGCCAGGAAACATTCCCAATCTAAATATACAATGCATCTTTTCATTGAACAGTGTATCTTAAGCATAATAAATATGATAATACTCTAATGATACAAGAGGAAAGTAGCATATCCACAACGATACTGCCAAAATCCCTACAGACAATATTACACTTGGTCAATGTAAAGCACAAGTAATTATATCTGTGATTATTTAAAGTATTCATTTGAACCATAATGCTTCATAAATCTATATCCGAGATGAAAATAAATAATTCCTTAATTTTTTAATCATCAGAGGACTATACTATATTGAGACTGCTTTCATGTTACAGTAGTTCCTTGAAACTTTTGAGACCAGAGAAGAATTCTGTGATTCTAGTTGCTAATGGTAAGATATTAAGGAAGATCCATACTAGCTACACTTATATCAGAAGCTCTTGCTTCTTGGAGAAGTCCAAATAGGTCACCATGGAGGCATAAAGTAGGCATGTCAGATTATAAACTCAATACCGATGGCAGATCAACACTGTGATTGAAAACAATAGTGCTTCGTAAGCATCGACTCATAAATGGCCACCAAGTTAGGATCAGGTACCAAGTTGGTCCAAAATCATCATAGCAGCCAGTGTATATGCAGAATACAATTTTATATGTTTCTGTCGAATAAAACATGTTTTGACAAGCAGACCAAGATAGCGTTAGCACTTTATCATTCAACTGTACAGAGCAGTGTGAGGTTTAGAAAATTGAGATATGCCAGAGTGACCAAGAAAATCTCTCTTTTTCTACTTTTATTACAAACTGATCTCAAAGAAAAACTATTTAAAATGACTAACTGTCAACACAAGGCACAGCCTCATCTTTCCTGAGACAAGAATACAGTGCACAGCAACCACCGCCACCTCTTGAACTCTGCCGTTCATAAAATAACCAACATCACCTTGAATACCATGCTCATTTTAAGGAAAATTCATCTGTATAAGAACAAATGGTAAGCATTCACCTTCAAGGCTCAGAAAGTACAAGGGAAGTTAGAAGTAGCAAAGTGGAACCACCCGACTAGAAACAGAGAATGCTGATACAGTGCAGAAAATGTAGACAATGTTCCTAAACAATATTTAGAGGAACAATATTTAATGGGAACCTAATTTCCTATGGACACTTTCAATAACACCACCATAAAATATTTTTAAGTATTTTGAAAATCACAAACTGGTAATAGAGTTAATATCTGAAAAATTTAAATAAATTTACAAGATAAGTAATATTTAAAAGTATACTGGAGCCCTTATTCCTAATTTCCTAATGACCAGGATTTTGCAATATAATCGATTGCATCTTTTCTACTTTTCATAAAAGTATATTTTTATGTCCACTGGATTATATATCAAAGATATTAATCCTTATGCATTGCCATTGAAAAGTATTCCTGTTATCAACACCAAAGGAAAATATGGTCACTACTGGATGGTTGGGAATAACTAACCTTTACTCTTGAGATTTTTCTGTCCCTCTTTTTTAATGTTCTAAAATGCATGGATGATTAAGAACTATTTTTTGTCTTCTATACCTTTATGGGAAGCTCTGGTGGCATAGTGGTTACATGTTGAGCTGCAATCCGAAATGTCAGGAGTTTGAAACCTCCAGAGTCCCTGTGGCAGAAAGGCTGGGCCTTCTACTCTCTCAGAAACTCATGGGGCACATTTATCCTGTCCTGTAAGATTGCTATGAGCTTCAATCAGCTTGATAGCAGTGAGATTTTTAGTACCTATAGGGGAAATGATATCTGATTTATGGGCCTAAGATTAAGTATTAAGCAAGCATATATAAAACCCCCAGCATAGTTCTTCCTCAGTAATTCATTAACTGCTAAATACTTGATGACAATAAACTGCTGCAGAATTTTTGAAATTGCTCCTATTCATTTAACTTTTTTTCCCTTCAGATTGAGAAAGACACAGTATAGGTGAACTTTTAAGTGGTTACAGATATAAAGACAGAGAGTGAAGAAATATATGCCATTTTATACTTTCTCAAACCCCAAAATAAACTGAGAAAGAATGGAACGTTTAGCCAAGAGGTTTTCTTTTTATCTCATTTCTTTGTTCTGTGATTCTCACTGGACTGATGTGAGCATTAGCATTGGAAGCATAGCAAGGGACAAACCTTTACAAGGCAAGACTTTTCTCCTTCTATTATCTGGAACTTAATCCCATTTCCGTATCACTAGTACAACCTCAAGGATAGAACCTCAAATAGAGTAGCACAATCTAACCTGGAATTACGTTCCCTGAGCTAGAACTCAATCAAATGCCTTGCTGTCTTATAGGCAAAACCAATTTTCTTAGTTACGAGATTATTCAGTTGCAGAAGAAACCAGATTGCTGCTCTTTGAAGAGCAAGAAGATAGATCAGGCAATAAAATGCAAACACTAAATATAAAATGGGGTCAAAATGTTTATATTGTCTTTACAAGATTTTGGTAGAA